AACACACACACACACACACACACACACCCACACACACATACATACAGACGTACGGACATTATCGTAAAAATAGTCAGGGAAGCTTCCTGTGACCTTCAAACGTCGAGATCTGATAAAAACTCGATTTTTGTAAAACGGGGTGAAAACAATAACTTCCTGATTTTTGAAAATCTGAGATTTTTAGCGGGAAGTTAAAAATAGGATTTAGGAAGTACTAAGTTAATTACGAAAGCTGGATTTCATACATTTATTTCTATTGAAAAAAGGTTCCTATCTCAAAGCAATTTTATGATGTGATCTATAATCTGTTTACTGAGTTCCGGCATGGAAAAAACTTAACAAGATATATGCGCTCAAAAAAGTTGTAGTTCAACTATATTTCCGATGAAACCTAAAATATTTGCATTTAGAGTTCCTATAAAATTGACAAAAATTCAACAATTAGTCTGTGATTTAATTAATTATTTATTCCTATGAATACAGCACAGATTTTCTAAAAGTATTGATGTGACATACTTGAAATATAATTAGTAAACAAAGCTTGATATTCAGCATTTTAATGATAGTAAGTTAACTTCTTTGTTTTTTATCATCTAACGGAATAATCATCCATGCGATAAATTCTAATGGCTGCTGTAATCAAGCCATCGTAAATCATAAGTAGTCATACAGTTAATGAAATATGTATTGATAGCATTTCATCACAATCTTCAAGGAAAAAAAAATAATTTTTTAGAACTAAAAAAAAAAATCTCAGTTTATTTTTTGTTCTCAATAACGTCTCGCGAACAATTATACATTTTTCGAAATTCAAACAGAAAGTCGTTTCAGACTGATTTTCGAAATTCAAGATTTTACTAAGTATTGACGTTCAAAAATTTTAAGAAGCAAACTGGCTACTTAAAGAAATGCTTAGTTTTCGAGACCCCAAATAAAGTAAATCTTTTATTTCTTTTTTTAAGTACAAATTTTCAACTGCCGTTAAAAAATAATTTTTTATTTTTTACGAACAGAATAGGTACCTCCTAAAAAAGCAAAAAAAAAATTAGGAAAACGGTTGACTTATGATAGCTTTTCTATGGTTTTGAGCTCTTTGAGCTCAAAAGTCTGATGGAAGTTTCATAGAACACTATTTTTTGAATTTTCATACCGCAATAACTTTTGAATGAATCAACCGATTTTCGATCAGTTGGCGGCATTCGACGCAGTTTTTTATAAAAAAAGTTTTTTTATGAAGAACACTTTTTTCGGTTTACTTTCGTTCACGATATCTCTCGAACGAATCAACCGATTATGACTGGACTAGCGACGATCATTGAAAGATGATTAGCTTTTGGGGTTGATTGATGAAGCTGTTTAAAAGTTATTCCAAAAAAACTACATTTAAAAAAAAATTTCGAGATCTGATGAAAAATCAATTTTTGCAAAACGAGGTAAAACCAATAACTTCCCGATTTTTGAAAATCTTCGATTTTCTTAGCGAGAAGTTAAAAAATTCTCCCTACAAAATTAGGATAAGCTAAGGAAAAAAATTAAAAATCAAACGAACTTACCTTAAGTGATGTTCGATTGTAATTATATAAGAGTCTCGTTCGAGATGATTACATCGTAGTACCGCTACTTTGACTAGTTCTAACCACACGTTTTAGAGTATAAATTGAAAAATTTCGGCTTTCCGCCGCCTGCTCCTACGTCGCACTCTAGCGGCTAATTGTCATATAGTTTAAAGCTTGTCCCAATGTTATGGAATTAAGCCTTAACTAAACTCTTTAATTTAGGGATGGGAAGAAATTTTTTAGGAGAAAAATAAAAAATTTCTTTTTTGGGTGGGATGTAATCATCTCGAACGAGACTCTTATATAATTACAATCGAACATCACTTAAGGTAAGTTCGTTTGATTTTTAATTATATTACGAGTCTCGTTCTTCGAGATTACATCGTAGATGTTTAGAGCAAACCAACTTACTTTTTATTAATTACTTGGTACAGAGCTTAATGCCATAATATTAATTTTCAAATCTTAACTTATTATAAGCCTCATCGACTTTGTTGATCAAATAGCACCTCTACAAACGACTCTCTTCTTGGTTCTATTGGACGTTTGTAGAACTTAGCGAACACCTGTGAGCTGGCTGACCATCCTGCTGTACTCTTTATGATGCTTACATCTAAACCTTTTGCCTCTGCAGCAGACGTGGCTGCGTGTCTGGTACTGTGAGCAGTGTACTTAGGATCTATCCCAGCTTTCACAAGACAGCGGCTTATTGATTGGGGAGTTGCCCTACGGTAGAGCCTCTTAAATGTAATAAACAGGTAGTCCTCTTTCCCTCTCAGATCTTTGGTTCTTTTTAAGTATTCTAACAATACCGTAGCGACGCAAGCGCTCTTTCGCTCTTTAAAAAATGGTAGATTAAAGGAAGGTTGAGCAGCCCCGACTCTAGATGTTTTAATCTGATCAGACACTTTTATAATGACATTGGTTTTTGAGATTATCATGTCGCTTAATTTGATTAAGGACAATGTCTGAACCCTATGCGCTGTAGCCAAGGCCAATAAAGATACCAACTTAAAGGTGAGAGTTTTTAGGTCCAGGGTTTTCAATGGTCCCAGTGCTTCTACTCAGTTCAAGACTGCCTCCGTGTTCCAGGTGGTGTCATATTTAGGCTTGGGTGGTCTGTTCTTAAACACTCCTTTGAAAAAACGACTGATTGAAGGATCGCTACCCAAGTCTATCGTGCTTATAAGATTAATCGCTGATCTTTCTGAGTTAAGCGTACCATATGATGCATCTTGATTGAATCGAAAGGTTAAATATTTTAGTACTAGGTAGATGTCTGGTTGTAAAGGATCTCTGTTGGTACTCTGACAATAACTCCACCAGTTCTTAAGAGCTACGTTGTACTGTTTGAGGGTAGAATCTATTAGAGAAGAAATTAAAATTTCTACTGCTTCCGTTGGTATCAGTTTTTGTTGATACGAGCGCCAGAGAGCTTCCCTGCAACCAGGGAAAGATGATTCGCTAACGGATGGATTAGAAACCTGCAAGGAGATAACAGTAAATTAGGTGAAGGCGAGAAATGCAGCGGTTTTTCTGATAGTATTGACTTAAATAAGGGAAACCAAGGCTGAGTAGGCCAATGGGGAACCACCACTATTCCCTGAGCTTTATCTGAAATAATTTTTTGCAATACTTTGGCAACCATCGCGAAGGGTGGGAAAGCATAAAAAAAATATCTACTCCAATCTATAGTAAAATAATCAATGTAACGAGCTTCTGGATCCCATTTCCAGGCGCAGAAAATTTCGGTCTTAGCATTACTTCTTGATGCGAACAAGTCTATTTCTGGTAACCCCCATTTTTCTATTATGGTTTGAAAAAAGGGGGCCCCTAATTCCCATTCAGTATCTATATTGACTCTCCTAGATTCCCTATCTGCGTTTGTGTTTTCTCGTGAGGGAATGTAAGAAGCGAAAATCCAGATCTTTCTCTTTTCGCACCAAGTCCAGATATCTTTAGCTCTTTGATGAAGTTCTACGTATTGTACCCCACCCATCCGATTAATGTACGAAATCGCCGTGGTGTTGTCAACTCTAAGCAAAATTTCGCAATTTTGAACTTCTTTAGCAAAGCACTTAAGCGCTAGGAACGCTGCTATTAATCTCTAACTGATTTATATGTAACCTCTTTTCTTTCTGAGACCAGAATCCATGAGCATTTTCTCCATTGCAGTGAGCACCCCAACCTGTGAGCGATGCATCAGAGAAAATCTCTAACTTATAATTTAAAGACCTAATCGGATTTTTTACTACTGGAATATTATTCAGCCACCACTCAAGATCTTTCTTTACATGAGAGTGAATAATCACACATCGATCAAAGTTTTGATCATTTAGGATTAGTGCCTTCATTTTTTCTCTCTCTAACATCTTGGTATATAGCATGCCATACGGTACACCTGGGCATGCTGCAACCAGTACTCCGATTAAACCCGCCATCTCTCTAATGAGACAAGAATCTTTGCTCAAAAATTCTTGAATTGTTTTAATTAACTTACACTTTTTTTCCCCAGGTAAGGAGAGTGTCATGTCTCTGGAGTTTATAATAAAACCTAAATACTGACATTTGTAATCTGGTTCATGTTTACTTTTCTCTTCATTTACGATAAATCCAAGCTCTTTGAAAATTTTTCTCGTTGCTGCTACATTTTTCCTACATTCAGACAGAGACTTACCGATGCAAAGCGTATCGTCTAGGTACGCTGTCGATAACCATCCTCTTTCTCTAAGAAAGTTCAGGACTGGTTTTAGTAATTTGTGTACACATACGGGCTTGTACAAAGTCCAAAGGGTAAACATTGAAATTCAAAGATCTGGTCTTTGAATTTAAATCTTAAAAATTTTCGACTACGGGGACCAATTTTTACCAAAAAATACGCATCTTTCGAGTCCAAGTTACACAGAAAATAATTTTGATAAATTAATTTTAAGGCTACTCTCATATCCTCAATTTTAAAATGAGTAGTTTTTATAAATTGATTTAAGCATTTAAGGTTTAAAATGAATCTCTTAGCACCATTTGGTTTTGGAACAAGAAAAAACGGTGATAAAAATTGGTCTTCTACAGGTTCGCATCTAACTATCGCCCCTATAGCTATTAGCTTCTTTATTTCATTTTCTAAAGATCTTTCGTCTTCTGACGAAAAACGCAAGTCTTTATTAAAGCTCAGGGCCCAAGGTGGTTTTTCAAGAAAAGGAATTTCATATCCTTTTACACAATTTAGGACAAAAGAATCACTGGTGATCTTTTTCCATTGTGGAAGAAACTGACTGAGCCTTCCTGCAACTAATCTCACCTCATTATTTATTTCTTCTTCCCTGCATCCGTTGGTGGCTGAGTCTTGCTGGTTGACTTCGAGGCATTGCTGTATGTGCTCTTGCTGCTGTGCTGAGATGAGGGGAACTTCGTCTGGTACTGTTTCGGGCCCTGATACGAGTTCCCCTGTCTCGCATATGGGCCTCTCCAGTTTAAAGTACGTCTCGGCGCTGGGTTGCTTACTTTTTTGTTATTACTAGAGGACGAAGGAAGAGGAGACGCCTTGATCTCTTTGCCAATTTTCTCCATAGATTTTGCGGTTTTAATCTTCTCGGTTAGCTTCTCTCCAAACAACAGAGACCCAGGCTTGGTCGCCTGTAACAAGTTTTTCATTGACTTGGTCAATATTGGAGAGATAAAAGCTCTTCTAGCTTGAAGAGACCTGGTAGTGCAATTGTGCCATGAGTTTGCCTGCATCCGCTAGTTTTTCTAACAACTCTAGACGATCTAGAGGTTCTTCTTCATCTCTGATGATCATTGTAATGCCTTGTCCCAAGGCTGACAAGGCCGAACCAGCTAGGTTTTGTTCTAGGGTAAATAGCTGATCTCTCTTGACGCCCGTTTCGTTCAGTGTAGCTGAAATTTCTTCATTTAATTCTGGGGCCTCGAGAGAAATATTTCCCTTACGCGGATATTTCTCTAACACCTTGTCTTTAACCTCTTTCGGTAATCCGTCAGTCAGCCAAGATGACCAACGCGACACCAAACTCTCGTGCAGCCCCACTTGTTCTTTTTTCTTTGCTCCTGGATCATCTCCCAGAAGCAGTTCTACCTCGACATCTAATTTCTTAGACTCAGTTGTCTCAGTAGACTCTATATCAACTACTACTTGAGTCCCATCCTCAGCCTGCATCTGCGCAAGCTCGTCAACGAGCTTGTCTGAGTCCGAGACAGACTTTTGCTCTTTCAACGCGGGATTCTCTACTTGAGGATTGACGATTTCATTTTCTTTATCAGAATCGACCCGAATTCCATCTGCAAGAAAAATTTAATCAATTAATTTTTCCCATAATGCCAGATGGACGTTTATTGCACTGGTTGTTATTGCCTCCTACGTGCAAAATTCACCAGCCAGAACGCCCGTCAAGGTCTCATCTTATCGAGTCCTGATGTCGTGTTATCTTAGAGATAAATTTATAACAGTAAAATTTAGTTTACCTTTTTCGAATGCTTTCATAACTGTGTCTGAGAGACATTGCACTACTCTCTCTCCTCCGAATCCGCTTCTCACAATTGTCATTCTCATCTCTTTCTCTGCTTCGTTTTTTATCTTTACCCATTATCTTGATACTGGTAAAAAATTTTTCTTGATCCAAAAAAACAATATAGGCCAGTAAATCGTGAATAAAAATTAATATATAAAATAAATAAAATTCTCAAACATGTGATTTTGTCTAGCACAAAGAACGTTATGACAATTAGCCGCTAGAGTGCGACGTAGGAGCAGGCGGCGGGAAGCCGAAATTTTTCAATTTATACTCTAAAACGTGTGGTTAGAACTAGTCAAAGTAGCGGTACTACGATGTAATCTCGAAGAACGAGACTCGTAATATAATTAAAAATCAAACGAACTTACCTTAAGTGATGTTCGATTGTAATTATATAAGAGTCTCGTTCGAGATGATTACATCAAGGCTGACAAGGCCGAACCAGCTAGGTTTTGTTCTAGGGTAAATAGCTGATCTCTCTTGACGCCCGTTTCGTTCAGTGTAGCTGAAATTTCTTCATTTAATTCTGGGGCCTCGAGAGAAATATTTCCCTTACGCGGATATTTCTCTAACACCTTGTCTTTAACCTCTTTCGGTAATCCGTCAGTCAGCCAAGATGACCAACGCGACACCAAACTCTCGTGCAGCCCCACTTGTTCTTTTTTCTTTGCTCCTGGATCATCTCCCAGAAGCAGTTCTACCTCGACATCTAATTTCTTAGACTCAGTTGTCTCAGTAGACTCTATATCAACTACTACTTGAGTCCCATCCTCAGCCTGCATCTGCGCAAGCTCGTCAACGAGCTTGTCTGAGTCCGAGACAGACTTTTGCTCTTTCAACGCGGGATTCTCTACTTGAGGATTGACGGTTTCATTTTCTTTATCAGAATCGACCCGAATTCCATCTGCAAGAAAAATTTAATCAATTAATTTTTCCCATAATGCCAGATGGACGTTTATTGCACTGGTTGTTATTGCCTCCTACGTGCAAAATTCACCAGCCAGAACGCCCGTCAAGGTCTCATCTTATCGAGTCCTGACGTCGTGTTATCTTAGAGATAAATTTATAATAGTAAAATTTAGTTTACCTTTTTCGAATGCTTTCATAACTGTGTCTGAGAGACATTGCACTACTCTCTCTAACCTCCGAATCCGCTTCTCACAATTGTCATTCTCCTGCTTCGTTTTTTATCTTTACCCATTATCTTGATACTGGTAAAAAATTTTTCTTGATCCAAAAAAACAATATAGGCCAGTAAATCGTGAATAAAAATTAATATATAAAATAAATAAAATTCTCAAACATGTGATTTTGTCTAGCACAAAGAACGTTATGACAATTAGCCGCTAGAGTGCGATGTAGGAGCAGGCGGCGGGAAGCCGAAATTTTTCAATTTATACTCTAAAACGTGTGGTTAGAACTAGTCAAAGTAGCGGTACTACGATGTAATCTCGAAGAACGAGACTCGTAATATAATTAGCAAAACGTTCTTCGAGCTGAAAAGCATAGTTTGCATTTAGTAAATTAAGTGCGGTCAACAGAGCTCGACAATTCTCAGAAAGAAATTCAATCTGATGATGAATGGAAAATGATTAAAAACCCACGTTTTTATTATTTTTTTAAAATGAATATCTTACGAATTAATTGACCAATTTTGACGAACTTAGCGGCATTTGACGCAGATTTTTGTGCACTTATAGTTATTTTATTACGTCAAAAACAATCCGAGATAAAATTTTGGAGTTATTTGTAAAAAAAAAATTAGGAAAACGGTTGACCCTGAAGGTCATCCCTGCAACTTTCCGCTACTTTCGTAATTAAGCGCTCAAAATGGCACACACACACACACACGCACACACACACACACACACACACACACACGCGCACACACACACACACACACACACACACACACACACACACACACACACACACACACACACACACACACACACACACACACACACACACACACACACACACACACACACACACACACACACACACACACACACACACACACACA